TGTTTTTGCTTCTCTGTCATAAAAAACCTACTATATTATATGGACAAAAATCGCTCAGATCAATGAACCTCTTAAGATGAAGACGTATTCCTTGAGTAAGTTAATAAAATGCCAACCCTGCTGAGGACCAGTTGATCTAAAAGTGAATCGGATGCATGAGAACCTGCCATTTATCATTTATTGTTAATACAGTGAGGCTGCGTCGGCGCAAGGATTGTTTACTTATTGTGAGTACTATGCACTTTTATACGACCTTTTCAGTAAAATAGCGTAAGACTTAAACCTCCTTTTGAACCATACGGGATGGTTACACCGTATTTAATAAATATTTTTGGATAAATATAAAAAATACACGATATAATATGAGTTTTTAATAAAACAAATAACACATTCAAATGGTAAACTAAGAACCAAATAATGTATTATTCGATTATGAATATTTTATTTTACTTAAAACTATTATTATTTTTTATAATTATTATTTATTAATTTTAAAGTCTATGTCACGTAAAACTTTTACTGTTTGTATACTATTGGAAATGTATGATTTCAGACATTTAATTGTATCCAAATTACTAATCGCACAGAAATGTGTAAAATAAATGACATATACTGTATGTAGCTAAAGCGAGTAGTACACATTTAAATAAAACACTTTAACGTTTTAAAACGCGATATGTACTAGCCCTTTCATATGCTTTGCAGCAGCCGTGTCTCCCCGTGACCACGGCTGCTGCAAAGCATCTGAAACGTTGGGCCGAAGTTAAAATAATTTAAAGTAATATTTGTCGCGTTTCGAACCGCTCTAGAGTTTTTTATTTCAATAAATTAGATATACTAAATACATTTCTTAAGAAATCTATACATTTACTAAATAAGAATTCGAAATTAACATTTGAGATTTTAGATTTACCAAGGATTTGTTAAGAACGGAATCTTAAACAATTATATCCCCTTTTAAATAAAACACTTTAACGGTTTAAAACGCGATATATTAGTTAAACTTATATGAAAATGATTTTTAACTTCGGCCCGACGTTTCGGGTCTCCCCGTGACCACGGCTCCTGCAAAGCATCCAAGACCGTCAAGTGTTTTATTTTAGGTGTACTACTCGCGTGAACTATAGACAATATTTAATTATATTCTCGATCTCAGATTAATGTGTCCAAGAGTCACTCTTAAGACTAAAAATTTATGCGTTAATTACTAATACGATATTTAACGACAAGATTGCTTTAAGTTTCAACGGGTGCTTTAATAAAAATTATTAGTCTCAATTCAACATTTGAAAGCCAAAATATTTTAACATGTTATGGCACATTATAAAAAAAGCCACGCGAGCAGGGCTTGAACCGTCTATCGTTACGAGAGGGTTCGTTTGTTAGAGTAGCAGAACGCTTTATTCGTATACACTTTTTATATCGGAATTATATTATATTATAATTTCTAGGATTGTAAACAATGCCGAAGACATTTATGTATTAATAGGTTTTTGAACAATATTTGATACATTTTCTAAATAGCTTCGAAATTCCATGATTTCCTGGATCTAAAATCTATCTAGGTCTAGACCATGATAGATAGATCTAGAATCTAAAACAGATTTTTAATTGTATATGTCATTTAATAAAAAAAAATGGAAAAATAATCGCGACACGGGCTTTGCGGCTCAATGGCAAATAAAGGAAAAATAATTATAATATTTAATAAGATAGGTTAACATTTTTAGACTACGAAAATATAAATAACTCGAGTCATAAGATTTCAGTTAGGCTACTCTGCCTCTAGCGGCCTCATCAGCTCAATCGGTGCAGAACCCTTTGAGTTTTTGAAGCTCACACAAACCAATATAACATTTTTTTTATATATAGATATTGTATGCACTTATAGATTGGGTTGTTGTAAATATTCATAAAATCCAACTTTTGTTCGAACTGAGAACTTCCTTTTTAGAAGTCAGTTGACGTGTATAATTAATTGTAATGAAAACTGGAACAACACTTCAATAACTATTTATTTATAAGCTATTATTAATATGTCATTAAATGTCCTCTTTATGTCGTTAATTTTAATTCAGGATATTTAAAATGCATTTAAGAGTAAAGTTCTATAATGTGACTAGCACTATAAAGAATCGGTCTGCATAAATATTAATTTATTTCAATGCATCTTGTTGACATTAATATCAATTAATTTCTAAAGGGCCGTTGTCTACGGTTGAGGAGGTTTAATGTATGGCGTATCAACATTCTGCTTAAATCATTGTTTTTATCTATATATTAAACTAGGTGTGTCAGCGACTTCTTCCGTGTAGAATAGTTATTTCGGGCATCCAAATTTGTTCTTGCAAGCGTGCTCATCATGTTTATAAATTTTAACAGTTCCCCACGACATCGAACGCGACCCGTCGTTCGTATCCCGTCGTTCTTGCAAGTTATATTAGTACAGTAAAAGCTCCTTATTCGCGCTTCCTTTATTCGCGTTTTCACTATTGGGATTAAAAAAATGCGACCCAATTCCTACATTCGCGGCTAAAAATTTCTTTATTCGCGGTTAATAATATTACATACATAAAATTATTCCAATAGGTATCCGACCCAATATCCGTGTCAAATGGACAGATAAAAAAATAAAATTAGATCTTATTACAACTTTGCCTAAAGTATATTGTTAAAGGATTTTATTGCCGAGGACTTTGATAAAAACCGCCGTGTTTTTAAGAATGTAAACAGAATAAAAGCTATAAATATATATATGCAATATGTGGCCATATTAACTGTATGATTTTTTTATTTACTTGGCATATAAACCACTCCTGTCGGAAATGTGGCCAATTTTTTTAACTTTTTTAAATGCTATTTATCGTTTAAGGTCTTTGTATTTTTTTTGCTTCTGTTGTCAACATAAATAGCCAATCTTCATGAATAAGTGCTAAAACTTGTTTGTTTTAGCTTTATTATTATTAAAAAAGTATAACAAACCTTAAGGTTCTTAATTTGTTTATTTTTTTTTTTTGACACCTAGGAGAATGTATGGGGACCCTATTCACGGTTTCTAATATAGCGGCATATTTATGGAACATATACCCCGCCAATAAAGAGCTTTTACTGTACACAAAAACCCACAGACCACAAAAAAAATATTAGTTCACTCGCGTCTCGGTTTGAGTCTATGAATATCCGATCGGAGGTCGATACCCCATTGTTCATTAGGTGTTTCATCTACCACTGTGCCTATATTTATACGCCTACCCTCATGCCTGTATATTTTCTTTGATTTAAAAAACGTTATTCCATTATTCATAGGCGATCATAGTTTTTATTTTATAAAAAAAAAAATATATATTTATCTTATTTATATATAAGCCTTTATACATAAAAGATAAACTGCTATAATAGTAACTATGCTTGGAAATACTTTTTTATTTTTATTATTGTTTCTTTTCCATAACACATTACTATATATATTATCGTCAAAACCAGTTATATATTCTACTTAAAATATTTCCAATTCCTCATTCAACACATTTCAGTCCTTGTCAACTTATTGTTGCATATTTGTTTCCCGGAGGTTTCAATCGTGGACCGAAAAAAACATTTAGTGACGGCGGTAACTGGTGCGTTCACAGTGAATATACCAAGCTGTACCCGCAGCTTTGTCCTCGTGGAATAGTTATTTTTGGGCATCATATTTTTTTGCTAACAACCTCCACAGCTTCATAAATTATAGCCTTTAACAACTACATCAAGTCGTCTAAGATATTGTCGCATCTTGTATGCTCTAACACTAAGTAAAACGTAAAATTGCGTCACGAACGGCCTTTTTTATTATAATATTGTCCAATTAATGAGGTTTAATTTTTTACAGTATTACTTATTTTATGTGTCTACTAACTACTAGTTTTTTTGCTCTGCACAGACATTCTAATGGAAAAATTCGAATGGATTTATGATCCATCTATTAAATTTTTAAGTATTATGTTTTTCTTTTTAATAAAATATATAAATTGTTGTAAATAACTGCTTGTAGTATGGAGGTTTAGTATTATTACATTTTATGAAAATTATCGTTCTTTAAGTTTGCCTCAAATCAAAATGTCACCCAGACGGTTCTAGACAACTAGACTGAAATTTAATGGCTTAGGGAAAATTATCATCATATTTACACCAAATTCCAAGATTCCTAGGTTAATTATAGCAGAATTACGAATTACCCCAGACATGTTACACGATTTGATTCGAATTTGGGTAACATTCAATTACTTAAAAACAAGAGACAGGTTCAATTAACAATAAGTTTTATATGTTATAAAAATAGTAATGTATCTATCAAGCTCTATATACTACATATTATATAGGATATCTTATAATTAAATTTTTTTAGATGTTTTTAATTTTCTAAAAAAATTTAAATAAGGCAGCATTATGTGATAACAAGATTAATTTGATGACTCAAACCGTGTACTATCTTGGTCTGAAACATGTTCGTGTCGCAGACTTTTTTCTTTTAAATTGAACAAATATTTTTGTCAGTCTCAATATTATTACAATAAAACACGAATAGCGTTATGCTGAATTGCGTTTATCCAGCTGGTTCAAAATTAGAAATATTATTTAGCTGCCAGATAAATAAACTAATTATTGGAATATTATGTTTTTGTGTCATTTTTAGGAACAATGTTCCGGTTTAGAATACCATAAATTATAAAGGAGAGGTTGCAAAAATTGGACGATGAAGTGTAGGACACGGTAGCTCAATTGGTTAGAGCAGCAGCAAGGAACGTTGTAGATGGCAGGTCAAGTCCCGTCCGCGTCGTAAAAAAGATTTTTGACCTGTAAATTCCATGTGAAAAATATTAAAGTTCTCTTCAGTTCAACCTTAATTTGATTTTTCATTTGTATACTGCAAAAGACAATAAACTTAACAATGTTTTTTTCAAGATTGTAATTATCTCAATTATCTTGTTCGCAGACATGAAAACTGAATAAAGGTATCCAAGATGGCGTCCACAATGCCAAATGCAATTGCGCGGGAAAATTTGAAGAATCAAAACGGAATGTGCAAAGACTCGGAGAGAATAGACAAAGACAACAGTTACTGTATCGAGTGCTCGCGGGAAATCGTCGACCAGAACATGAACGAGACGAGACAACTGTCTGAAATACAGAAGTTTTACGACCGCAAAAATGTCCTCATTACTGGCGCTACGGGTAAGTTCTACGATGCGATTTGAGGAGCCCGTCCTTGGTGCAAAGATAGCAATGTACGGCTAATAATCGAAAGTTTCTGATTTTTCAAATTGTAATTTTTCTGTAACATGCACTTCGTCTGGAAATCTGGGTATTAAATGAGTAGGAATGCCGAAATTCCGTCCCGGTCACAAAACAGCCGCAACAAATTAAAAAGCCGTGAAGTTTATTCACGTTTCGGTAGCAGTCTGTGAAATCCCGAAAATCAAAAATAGGTCGACCACGCATCATCTTTTTTAGATCCAGGCTGGGGTACTTACCTACTATCAAGTGAGCTTCACGCTTGTCAGTCCTCTTCTCATCATTAAACATATATTTTTTAAAAACATTAATATGTTTCAATTAAATGAAGCTAATAATTTGAAAATCAAAAATTTTCAAAATTTTTAAGCTTAAAAAACATTGAACCTTAAGTTTAAGGTTGAAATAATAAGGTTGTTAAATTGAAAAATTAAAGTTAGGCTGGGGTAAAAAATTTTTCAATTTATTGAATTTTTAAAATATATTTTTTACATATTTCATAGTAATTATGCACACGATTTTTGTATACAAAAAGTGTTTATATATTTTTTTATAATGGAAAGCGACAAACTTATGGGGGGTGAAATCCCTATAACAAAGAGTGCTGTCGACCTGTTTTGATTATAAAATAAAACTGTTTAAAAAAAGTTTAACTTATTTGATGATTTTAACTTTCGGCCCGACGTTTCGGATGCTTTGCAGCAGCCGTGACACCTTAAAATATTTTCAAATAAGTTTAACTAATATATCGCGTTTTAAACCGTTAAATTGTTTTATTTAAATGTGTACTACTCGCGTAAACTATAGACAGTATTTTATTCGATAATCCATTAACTGAAATACGATTAAACTTCATGGCTTTTTCATCTGTGGACGGTGGTTCTGGGACCAGTTTTCGATATTTTCTACCACCAATTTAATGTCCAGGTGCCCAGAGGAAGTCCAGCATGTTATAAAATTAGACCCGAACGATCAAACCCACCACACGAAGATTATAAGAGATGCATTACTAACATTAGAACAATGACCCCGTCAAATAACTTGTGCTAAAAACTACGTTTTCACACGAGTACGGAAGTATTATGTTTTCTTATCTAACGGTACATTCAAATTATATCCTATTAATATGTTTATCTCTTTAACATACTAATTATAAATAAAATATCTATTTAAGCTCATAAGCTTATGATATATGTTCTCTCATGAAATGTACTATTAAAATACACATCGTTTCCTTGTATTCTTTAAGCAAGCTTTGTAGTTATCATGAAGTAGTTGGCTAAATATATTTCCTTTTAATCTTATATGTTAACTGATTATATTTAAATAAAACACTTTAACGGTTTAAAACGAAATAATATATTTTAGTTAAACTTCTTTAAAAAAATATTTTTCACTAGGGCCCGACGTTTCGGATGCTTTGCAGCAGCCGGTGTCACGGGGAGTCTCCCCGAAAAAGTTTAACTAAAATATATCGCGTTTTAAACCGTTAAAGTGTTTTATTTAAATGTGTACTACTCGCACAAACTACAGACAGTATTTAACTGAGTATATATACATTTTTTAAATATAAAATACAGTTACACGTGTAGTTAAAAAGAGTTTATAAAAAAGAACACCTTAAAAAAGCCTTACAAATTATGTATATTTTTTAACTTAATTTATTGATAAACATTTATCCTTTGTCTCGATAAAAACATTAAACTTCTTAGTATAATATTAAAATTAAAGGCCCCTTTTTTAAAATATTATTGATGTTTGAACACAGTCTATCAGTATTTCCTGTCCCTAGGTTTTCTTGGCAAGATCCTGGTTGAAAAGCTACTACGGAGCTGCCCAGGGGTGGAGAACCTCTACTTGCTGGTTCGGCAGAAAAGAGGAAAGGATATATACACGAGGATCGAGGAGATTTTTGAAGATCCGGTGAGTCGATTTCATAGAACGACGTAGAACGCTTCAAAGAAAATTTTGTTTATTGCCAGAAAAAACATATAGACACAAACAGTTTAGCTAAATTTTTAAAACTAAATGTTTGTGGCTCTCAGCTAAATGCTGCACGAAGGACATCGAAGTCCTAATTTTCAGTCTCTCTGGCCGTAGTTCCAAAAGGTTTTATTAAACTAATGTGTAATTGTAAAAATTAAAGCTAACTATATATTATTTAATAGTAATAAAACAAATAAATTAGGAAGTACATCGATAGGTACGGAAGAAATGAATTAACTTAACTAGAATCGGGCAAAAGAGTATAGAATCGCAGATTTAGCGAGGACAATTTTTTTTTAAAGCATTTCTGTTCCTGTCTCTTTTACACTCTGACGTAAGTTTGTGAAACAGATTGACTACTATTGTCAATGAGAGCTCTGCACATTTTGAACTAACTGTGTCACCGACTTTGTCCATATATAAAATCTCCCGTTTTTGCCTTCAGATGGGTCTAATGTCTTAATTCCATTATTTGTCCTTTTGTATTCAGTAACACGATATTGATTTGAATGACGTTTGCAAAGTCACGATACACAGTAGATCGCCTCCGAGCCGTGGTTAAACACTAGACCTGGATTAGACTCGTCAGTCATGTTTTAGCTCGGTCAGGACAAAGAATCAATGCATCGGATGCAACAATAGTTGTGCCACCTGCACCACACATGGAAAGTGGGGTTTCACAAAGTATACACAGATCACTGACGAACGTGACACAGCAGATGCTATACAAACATGTAAAATAAACAACCTTCATCCTTAAGAATCAATATTACAATATTTATTTTGTATATTTGCTAAGGACTCGTGTCAGCGACGAGGTCAATATGGGAAAACTTGAAGAAACTGTAACAAGGCTGAACATTCAGAAGGATTTTAATCGCGACGTCAAATTTCAAAGTACGCGTTCCTTATATAGTAAAGTCAAGTAATAAACCTCTGTAGCCGAATTATTAAATCTTCTTGAGCTTGTTAGTCTAATGGTAGCAATTTTCGGCTGATAATCGACGGGTCGTGGAATCCTTCATCTTCGTTTTTTAGCTTTTAACTGATGTGACGTTCACATGATTAAATGATGTTTGACTTCGATCTCTACAGGGTCCACTGTTTTTAATCAAACTATATTTTTTAAATAAAACACTTTAACGGTTTAAAACGCGATATATTAGTTACCTAACCTAATATATCGCGTTTTAAACCGTTAAAGTGTTTTATTTAAATGTGTACTACTCGCGTAAACTATAGACAGTTTTTAATTAACCAGTACGGGCTGGAAAATGCAAACAAAGTTCGAAAACTAGAGTGTCTTATGACGACTAATATATCGCGTTTTAAACGGTAAAGTGTTTTATTTACATGTCTACTACTCGCGTAAACTATAGACAGTATTTAAACTATATTTTTTCTACCATCATGTTCGACTTCGTCTGGAACTCTGGATATGAAATAGCTGGCAGGAATATCGAACTCGGGCCACGAGCTACCGTCACAGATGAATCAAGTCAAAGATGGTCAAGTACAATCGCGTTTCGGTTGCAGTCTGTGGATTTCCAAACATCCAAAACCAAAATAAATCGACATCATCTTATTGAGATGTTTTAAGGCTGGGTATCTCACCTTCCAAGTGAACAATCAAGTCAATCCTACAACGTTAAAAGGTTTACCTAATATACTGTTGACGTACAAAACAATAAAATTGTCATTGCAGCATTTTTATTGCGCTATTTGAGTTATTCAAATATCAATTTCAAGAACACTGTAATGTTTTGTGTTAGATCACTTTTGCTGTAGTGGGGAACTATTATGCTTTGTTCTCGATGAGTAATGAGGAAAAGTAGTTGGAGTCTTCGCACTTTTAAAGACTGTGTCAGCCACTTCGTCCGCGTGGAATAGTTATTTTAGGCAACCAAATTTGTTTTTATAAACTTAAACCTACGACATCGGTCGCTCCCCATCGTTGCAAGTTAATGTTAAAATATAGATATATAGCGTCGCGGACATTTTTTTAGATCATTTAAAGAGCCATCTTCTCAGCGTACGCATCGGAATATGATAAAAATTGATACTAATTTTTTTTTCAAAATTTTCCCTGTTTATTCGCTCCCATTAGTTCAAAGCGCAATGTTTTATAACCTAAAGTCTTTCTCAATAAATGCAGTATAAATAAATTATTTTTTCAATTCGTATCAGTAGTTACTGAGGTTAGTGCAGACAAACAAACAAACTCTTCAGCTTTATAAATTAGTGTAGATAAGTACGGTCTACTAAAGTCTAAATGGGGGGTGTTTCAACTAACGTTGACGGTCTAGACTCAAGTTAGTTCAATAACCTAGTTGCCGGTTCGATTGCACCAGGTCCACTATGTTTGTAAATTATGTATGTTCTTCTTTAACACGTTAGACATCTGAAAAATTATTAAACCATTGTATATATCGAACTGTCCGGATATTACGAACCGATTAATTTAATGAAAATGCTTTGCGTTAAAAAAGGTGAAAATCAACTAGATGTTATAGATTTAAATAAAACACATATAACGGATTATAACCGCGTAATAATACCGCTTACTGTATATTCGCTTCGCCAGGGCTGTTACAAAGCATCCGAAACATCGAGGCGTAGTTAAAAAATGTTACCGTATATATTTCTCGTTTTAAACCGCTTAAAATATTTTATTTAAATGTATACTACTCGCGTAAACTACAGACAAAACATGTTATAGGTCTTTACTCCTCAGTCTTAGGTCTTCAGGTTATAAAGGATGGTATCTAAATAATTTAAGATTTATTATACAACCCAGGATCGAAGTAAAGGTTGGAAGTCAATACTATCTTTAAATCTAGATTTTTGTTACTTTTAATTTTGTATATGTTGGTATTACTCTAACAATATTTATACATCATTATAAATGTTTAGTTGGTCAAGGTTTGCGATCCAACACGCTACATGTTAGTGTATTTGTGTTTGAAAAACACTTCGTTCAAAGCCTAGGCGATCTATGTAAATACCTACTTAAGTTAATGTAAATTGATTTTCCGAGAGAATCCTTTACATCACAAACACTACTACAACATCACGATTTTTACAACTAACACTAAATTTTATCAAAATCTCTTAAGCTTTTTGGTCAGGCAATTTATATGTACAAAAATAATTATATAATTAAAAATTTAATTTGTAGTAAAAATTTTAGGATCGGTTGTAGGTCATAGGGTTTGAACTACCATCCACACCGTTTTGAGCTGCTGTTCTAATCACACGACACGGTAGCTCAATTTGTTCAAGCAGTAGAACGGATCTCTGTGGATGTCGGTTCAAGTCCCGTCCGTGTCGTATATTTTAGATAGATTTTTAATTTATATAATACCACCATGTCCAAAAACATGTGAAAAATATCAAAGTTTTCATGTAATGAATATATACGTAAGGAGTTAAACACTTTTTCTTACATTTATTGGAAAAAGTACATGTATGGAGATCCAAATCCAATATCCAATATTAAGAACAATATAATAAAATATCTTAAGTGAATTCTATGTTTCAGATGTTTAATCTCTTGAAGAAAGAAGTGCCAAAGTTCAGACACAAAATTGTGGTCATCCCAGCGGATTGCGAATCGCCAGGACTTGGATTGACCATACACGACAGACAAGTTATTGTCGAAAAGGTAATTTAATATTATTTATTACACGAAGTATATATACATGTTTCCTCCAAAAATATCCTTAATATTACAAGTTATAACGATAAATTATTTTTACAAGTTATGGAGTGCAATAGGCGGCCTGATCGCTATAGAGCGATCTCTTCCAGGCAACCCTCGTGTAAAATTAAATATTATTTATTATACAGAAACAATAAATACTTATCGTTATATTAATTACAAATGTATTAATATTGAAAGAAACAATGTGACACGGGGAAAGTTGAACCCACGAACACAGCCTTCCGTGCTATTTCTTTTGAGCTGTGTCCAGCTCGTACTAATTGAATTTGTTTAAGCTATGTAAAGACGTATAGACATACATTCCCCGATAGGTAATGCGTTTTATCTGCTAAGATCAAGAGCATACAATACTGCGGTCGTAGGTTCAGGTCCCGATAGTATAATTTTCAATATTTTTAACTTTATATATCTAAAGATATTATGTAAAAGTGATGAACTCTTCTTGAAAAATTACGAAACATACTTACATTGACATATTGTGTGTATTTTATGTAAATATACTTTTAATTTATATTGCGGTAATATGTAATATTTGAAGAATTGTATTCTCTATTATATTAAATACTGTCTGTAGTGTAGATTCCGGGAGTAGTACACATTTAAATAAAACACTTTAACGGTTTAAATTTTTTATTATATTAGTTAAACTTATTTCAAAATTATTTTCAATTCTGTAAGGACTCGGCCAGTTTCGCTGAAACAGATGGCGCTAGGGTAGCAGTTTTTACTTTAACGTCGGAGTCACCCTTCGTCTTTAGTCTCCCCGTGACGGCTGCTGTAAAGCATCCGAAACGTCGAGCCATAGTTAAAAATAAATTTCAAATGAGTTTAAGTAATATGTATTGCGTTTTAAACCGTTTAAAAATTCTTTACTATATTGTTAACTTTTCTTCGAAAAATACAACTTTGTCTTACGCATAATTTATTCTTATATTTCAGGTCCACGTAATATTTCACTCGGCTGCTACGGTGAAGTTCGACGAACACTTGCGAGCAGCACTACTCACCAATGTGCAGGCGCCTTTATATTTGCTGCAGTTGGCTAGAGAAATGAAGGAATTGAAGGTACCAATATCTAGTCTTTCACAGATTACAGACTAATAATATGAAATACTAGCTGACCAGAAAATCGTTTTTTTGTCATAATATGAAATATTTCGTCAAAATTTTAGAAATTTTAGTCTTATCTTAGAAAATAGACATAACATCGCGATTATTATATAATTCCTTTATACATATTTTTTCGGTACCTCGAACCGTTTTCGCAGCGCAGGCAAAGATTAGTAATTTCCCCAGTTTTTTCCACATTTCCCTCTTTCCTTCGCTTTCATTAGTCGCAGCATATACATAAAGATAAATGGACTATCCAACTAAAGAATTCTTTAATTAGAAAGAGTATTTCCTGAGATTAGCGCATTCCAACAAACAAACTCTTCAGCTTTGTATATTAGTATAGGTTTAAAAATGATGTATAGGTTTTAATAGTATTTTGAAATTACAGGCCTTCATGCATATATCGACGGCGTACTCCAACTCTCATTTGTCGTCAATAGACGAGAAGTTCTACCCGATTGAGGCGGATTGCAGCCATTTACAGGAGATGATAGACAAACTGACAGATTCTCAGATCAATGAAGTTCTTCCACAGTAAGTTGGCACAAACGTAATATTTTAGTAAAATACTTTAACCGTTTAAAACGCGATATATATTATTTAAACTTATTTGAAAATTATTTTAACTACGGCCCGACGTGTCAAACGCTTTGCAACAGCCGTGGCCATGGTGGGATCGACTGATATATGTCGCGTTATAACCGTTAAAGTGTTTTATCTAAATGTATATTGCTCGCGTAAACTACAGACAGCATCTAATGGAGATGCGCCGAGTAACTTTTGGTATAGAGTAACGAGTACCGAATTTTACCCGGTTCAATTATTTTTCAACCGAATACTCGGCTGAGTAACTCGGTTCAGTCAAATTCCTATTTCGCGCGCATAAACAAGTACAAACAGGTTCGCGCCGGTCAAGACGTCGGCTCGTTTTGATACACCCCTCACCCCACCCTCGCCTTTCAACTGCCAGTCACTTGATTCTTTGCAAACGTGTTTAGTAAATGAGATTAACACTGTTGTTTTAATTATATCTACCTTAATATATCGCTTTTCTTAAGCAACGTATACTCGTTATCAAATAACCGAGTTATTCGGCCCAGTACGTATCAAAAAACCTGCCGAGTACCGAGTATCAACCCATTACTCGGCCCATCTCTAATATTTAATGTACGTCATGTGTCTAAAAAACGACAACAAACAAACTAAATTTTGATTTCAAAATTTTAATTTTTACTTAAAATCAGTTTAGTTTAAGCCTGTACTTCGCGTTGTACACATTAAAATTATATAGTTTCAAAACGCGAAATAAGTTCACTAATTTTGCGTTTTAAACCGTTAAAAGTGTTCTATTTAAATCCTTTTTTGAACCGACTACTAAAGTGGTGTCGCACTTTGTAATACAATTAACCTTATCTACTAAAGTAACCTGAGATTTCCTTCAAAACTTATTGTATTATTAAAATGTAGTTGAGATAGACAAATTAAAAAAAAAAACTTTTGTTGGCTTCCTATAATAATTATGATAATCTTTATCATTGAGTCTAAATTTAAATTATAAACACGATTTTTATAATTGCTTTCCATGTACACATAATGTCTTTATTCTATATTTATTTTCCAGAATACTTGGTCAATGGCCTAACACATACACCTTCACGAAAGCTTTAACTGAAAAGGAGCTTCGCAAGGCATGCGCAGGAGTTCCCTTGGGTATATTCAGGCCAGCGATTGGTAAGTTATTATTTAGGTTCCCGCAAGCAGCTCTTGTGAGAAGTAGGTATTGACGAGTTCTTTAGTTGAATAGCAGCGCTGTGTTGCTAATACATAATGGGTCGTAGTTTCGATACTGGACTTCTGGAAAGTCTAAATATTAAATGCTCTTTTTATGACAGAGGAGGACAGATGCTTGTCTGTCTTCCTGGAGTTCACTTGATGGTAGAAATACCCCAGCCATATACCATCGTAGCAAGATTCCCTGTCGACCTATTTTGGCTATAGATTTTTCACCTGGACAAAATTTTGATATTCCTACCACCCATTTAATATCCAGACGAAGTCACTTCTGATGATAGATAAGTCTTTTTATTATTGGACCTATTGGATATATCTTGGACATAATTTCTTGTTGAAATTGTCTTCTAGTGACATCAACAGCCAAGGAACCCCTAAAGTGTTGGCTGGACAACATGTATGGGCCGACAGGTGTCGCTGTAGGCAGTAGTAAGTAACATTTTCATTTTATAGTACGTAACATTAGTCTTAGTTCCCTTTCCCCTATCCAGATAAAGCAATATGAATTACGGTCTGAATGCTCCGTTACAACAGATTATGCATTTAAAAATAGATAATACAAAAAGGCAAATATCAACAAATTTCAAATGACTTTGTCCTTTCATAATATTTTTATATTAATATACAACAAATAAATTAATAAACATTTGCAATTAAATACTGACTGTTGTTTAAGCGAGTAGTACCCATTTAAATAAAACCCTTTAACTGTTTAAAACGCGATGTATATTAGTTAAACTTATTTGAAAATTATTTTAAATTAAACTTTAACGACGTAACGACTGCTGCAAAGCATCCGATACGTCGGGCCGTAGTTAGAAATAATTTTCAAATAACTTATCATACACTCAATACAAATGTATTTGCTACAGTGGCACGAAGGTATTTAAATAAACTCCTTTCTCTTGACAGTGACAGGAATGCTACGAACAATTCAATGCGACGAGAACGTAACCGCCGACCTTGTACCCGTTGACTCAGTGGTGAATTGTCTGATCGCCGCCTCCTATGACGTCAGCCAAAAGTACAGGAGTAGGTAAGACTTTCGCTAACGGGAGCCAAGAAGACGCGATTATATAAAACAATCTTACACGTATTAATGTGAATCATTATAGGTGGTATATATTTACTTAAAGCGATGACAAATACTATGTTTTAACCCTAACAAACTCTTCCTCTGTACATGAAAACTACAAACAGAATAATGAATAAGTATTAGTTTTTCATTATTTATAACATGACATTTTAAAGATTAAAAGTAGACACGAGTAGGTTTCGTTTGAAGGAAACTACCCGGCAACAGACCAAACTGCCGTAACTGCAATATGGTCTAGTCGATATTTACCATGACTCACCCAACAAACTCCGTCGATTACCTATTAATCAATTTTATCTCAATGTATAGGCACTTCATTAAAAAATATTCTCTCTTATACTTAATATTTGTTCTTGCTTGCTGTATTCGCCTAGAATTGTTCTTCACAACCCTTAAACATGTATCTTAGGTTAAGTATTCCGTTGTAAGAATGTTGGTGAATCTAATAAATAAATAAGTCCAAAATAATAAAAATTCAAACTTATATATAAGTTGTTCTTGTGGTGATGTTATCTTCTAAGCTAATACTTTAAAACAACGATTTCCAAGGTCACCGCCCAGCGAACCCCCCATTTTTAATTACGTCAGCTCCGTGGAGAACAAGATCACGTGGGGAGACTTCATGCGCCAGAACATGGCGAGGATCGACAGGCATCCGCTCTCTAATGCTGTTTGGTGGGTTAAGAAGTATTTTTTCTAACTTGGCAAGAGACCACAAAAATATGGCTGATTTATGTTATATAGATTTTTTTATTATTTTCTATCACAGCAGCGATAATTAACATACAGTAAGTAAATTAAATGTTGAATGGGCATTTTTTTTAGCTCCTCCATAGCTCATTCTGTTAAGCACGAAAGATCCTAGGTTTTAATACAGGGGAAAAGATAATAAATTGTTTCGATCGGGCAGGGCACAAAGTATGTGAAACGAACACAACTATCTATGGCCTCGCACCATGTTAATAGCGATATAAGGGATAGCGAGATATCACTTACAAAATGCATCATTCTAGAAATTTATTTTTGGAGAAAATATTACAAATTATAGTATTATTTTTGTTGATTGGTATAAACCTAAACTACAGAATATACGATTTCAATAAACATGTTTTATAGTTTAAGGCGCGACCTACCGCCGAACGTTTCGGATGCAATGCAGCAGCCTTGGTCACGGAAGATAACAATGGCTAAAAGTTTTTGAATGTGCACTCGCGTAATCTTCTCTCCATTAAAATAATGTTATTTTTTTATTAAAATTAACCTTCTACTTTTTATAACATTTTCAGGTACATATCATTAACCTTGAACAGGTCAGCTCTAATGAATCAGATTTACGTATTCTTCCTTCATTTAGTTCCGGCAGTGTTCATCGACGGCTTAGCTTCGTGCTTTGGGAGGAAACCACAGTAAGTACCATTTCGCAGGTGAATCTTAAACTTTGACGATTGTTTAATTAAAAATAAAACTTTTAAAGTCCTTTTTTATCAAGACATATTATACTCTATGAACTAAGGGTAAAGGGTGTGGAGAGGCAAAGATAAAAAAGTATAATACTAACAAAAGAAGATTGCGTATCAATCACATTATGGATATATAAAAAATACAAATTTAATAATAAAAGAAATAAAACATAAATTGTAAAAGATTTTCGCGCCCATCCTCGACTTTCTGATCTTTAGTCCTATCACAGAAAAAACCATAAAGTGTTCGAGAGTATTGAGCCAATATATCGCCACGCGTGATGCCAATCTGTCGAATAAATTTTCTCAATTACGATGGAAAGTCTAAGTTGCTTCTCGAGGAGCCGAGCCGCGAAAGCGTTTGTAAATTAATAAATTCTTCGTCTTGTTGCGTACATAATTACAATAATTGCAGAATGCTGAAGGTATACCGAAAAATTCACAAATTCTCATCTGTGATTTGCTATTTTTCAACAAAAGAGATCTCTTTCTGCAACCGACGAACGAGGGAATTGTGGGACAAGACTGCAGAATTGGATAAACAGGTAATTTGGAGAAAACAAAATGTAGAAGCGTTGCATAATATTACAACTATAATTATCGAAATAGCTTACCTTGAACACACTGACTGAACCCTAAAAAATATTAATTTGTTTAGTTTAAGTTTTATAATAATTTCTAATACCCAAACACCAAATAGGGCAACAGCGCATCTAGTTTCGATGTTATATCGCTGGGGTATTTCACGTACCATCAAGTGAACCACCTTCCTATTTTACGTGTATAGTTAGCCTGTCTCTCTTCCTCTAACAAAAAAATTAGAATTATAACTTTTCCCTTTCCAGATATTCCCGTTTAGCATGAAACAATTAGACTGGGAGGAGTACTTCGACGAATACTTGGCGGGGATCAGACGGTATCTCTTCAAAGAGGCAGACGAAACATTACCGCAAGCTAGGATTAAGTGGAAAAGGTTAGCGTCTCATATTTATTCTATTAGTTACCATAAGAAACGACCTCCACGGCTCAATGCGTAAATGGTCGTAATCGGTCGAATCCCAGAAAAATTTAATAGTTTCGGTCGTACAATCGATCATTGATACAGTCACAGAACTGTGGCAATAATTAACAAATGTTTTTCTCATGTTCTTTCATTGTTCGAGTAACAGCGCGGACTGAGGATGTCGGATCAAATCCCGCCCGTGTTGTTTGTAGATTTTATTTTATTTAGATGGGTACTGACATAAATAAATAATATGCAACTAAGTTTGGGAAAAAAAAGAAACTGAATTAATTTCGGTTTAATTAAATAATTTTAATGTTATTTTTCCTAACAGAGAGGTAGAGAAGTGTGTTAGTTTTTCAAGTTAAAAGTCCCAAATAATCGTTCTCTTTGTTTCAGACTATACTATCTGCACCAGATAGTCAGGATTTGTTTCTACGCATTTGCATTCTACTGTATATGGTCGATTCTAACGAAAATATTCTAGTTATCTTGTAGATAATGTGATATGTTAATAAATATTTGAATATCCAAAGGATAATAAACTAGAAAATAAGAAATGTTTATACATTCCGCTTTAGCAGAGCAATTTGAAGTAGACAAAGAAAGACAAGTTTTAAAACGTAATATTAGGTTATTGTTTAGGTATAAGGAATATTATGTAAATAAATATAATATATAACCTATAGACGGACATACTTCATTATCTCATAGTGTATTGTAAATAACGCCATCTGGCGGAAAACAAAACGACATCTTTCATATGAGCACTAATTGTAAAGATTTGAACATTTAATTTGTAATTTGTATTTTACCAACACAGCTAGTCATCGTATTAACATGACAAAAATCGCAACAGTAAGTATCCCGCCTTCTAAGATATTTCCACAACGGAGTTAACGCTAGAGGGAATCAATCCCAGAAAGACAGGATAAAAATCAAATAAAATTATAAGCTATCGTAATTAATTTGGACGAAACACGTCCCTTAGAATCGATACGGTGCTAAATATTTAAACACATAATATGAATACTGTCTATAGTTTACGCGAGTAGTACACATTTAAATAAAACACTTTAATGGTTTAAAACGCGATATATTAGTTAAACTTATTTGAAAATGTCGTGGTCAAACGGCTGCTGCAAAGCATCCGAAACGTCGGGCCGAAGTTAAAAATCATTTTCAAATAAGTTTAACTAATATATCGCGTTTTAAACCGTTAAAGTGTTTTATTTACACATAATATGATTTGTATAAAACGATTTTTATGCTCACGACGATTGTACTTAGCACGAACAGACAAAAGCATTTAAAATCGACATATCTGTAATAAATAGTAATTGGTTAGCTTTTATGAAATAAAATATCAAGTATATGTCTTTTTTTATTTTCCTTGTAAGGGGCGTTTTAGTTTATGTCGTCCCCCCTTAAATACCTTTTTAACTAATAGTGTGAACTGCCCGCGGCAGTTGTGACACGTGGAGTGTGGTCCATCACACCACACCTTTTATTCGAGCTGTATTACCCTAGGCAAGAGTCGACCGGATCCACTATCCTCACTACTAGCCCACTCTCGAGGGAGCTGGGAATACGTTTGTACAACTACAAAGCTAGCATATAAATGGCAAGTATATTAAAAAAAATGTAAGGGCAAAATGCAATGTAATTTCTACCTTAATACAAGTGTTAAGGTTGAAATTACATTGCGCGAGAGGTGCATGTATCAGTGAATTGAAAAAATTCGACGTCGTGTAAGGACTCGGTAGCTCAATTTGTAGAGCAACAGCAAGAAACGATGACGATGCCGGTTCAAGTCCCGCCCGAGTCGAAAAAATTGTTTCGATTTAGGTTCAATTTTTAAATTATATAGTGCCTTCATGTGCAATAGCAATTAAAAATATTAAAGTTTTCAAGCAAAATATATTGGTTAAATTATTGCTCAACACAACATTTTAAGTTTACAGCTGTAGTGGCTATATCAGCTCCCCCTCCCCCCATGACTTGCTCTTTCAGAAGACATGAATTTCAACACAAAAATAAACACAACATTTAAGTTTAAATCATATATTCATAATAATTATATAAAAATACACATCTTATTCAACTTAGAATTAACAAAACTGAATTAATATTGGCACAGAATGTATCTACACAGTTATTACGTTAAGAAATATATAAACAATTTACATTCCTCGAAATAAAAATAATTATATAAAACTCAATATACACATTTGAATCATGTTTCCTCGGTTAATCGTGATCGAGAATTATGAAATATTTATTGAATAGTTGGTTAAATTATAATATTCTCGTCGAACTAATTTCTCTAGTCTTACAATGTGAATATATACTAATATAAGACTATTGTTTTCAAAATCAATAATGTACACTAAATTTACGTAACGACCAAGTCGCCATAATATAACGTAGATGTTTCGTACTAACGTAGAAGTTAATGTGTGAATTAGTTCACATTGAACGAAACGAAAATAAACTAAAATTATGTTTAAAGGCACTAGACATCACTCATACTCAAATTTTAAATAAATCGGGGAAAATAACTCTCAACTAGCAACACCGAAATGGAAAGAATTAGGAATGTCAATCTTTTAACGATAATAAATGCAATATTTAATGGAATGTATTAATATATTAATTTTTAAAAGTAAAAACTTTTTGGAATCGTGAGCAATTTCAAGCGACAAAATATACATTGCAAATCTTTCTTACCGGACTTTACACTTTATGTATACGTACAGTCGCAATGTATATGTATATCGATTATTGATTATATTGAATTATTGACGCCTTACAGCAAAATATCAAAGTCGAAAGAACCTATTGTATATTGGTGAGAACCCTTTCACAACCCTTCTAAGTACTTTTAGCATCTAGATATTTTAATAGTTCGCAGTTTAAGACTTAGATTGACTTGTTAATAGTCATATAAGTATTTAAGGTTGAAAAACATAGATGTCAAAGACTATACTGATACCGACGTACCGAAATAGGGCACTGTTTGGTCCAATTATGGGTTTAAGTCCCCTGGTGTATATTTATTAAACAGCTTTTAATTTTCGTGAGGGTAGTGAAACAGGTAACATACGGAGTGGCGCTAGTGTCGACTTTCCACATTGGGTTATTAAAATACTGAAAGAATCACTTCTTCCCGAGTGATTCGAAGAAGTTGACGAATTTATTGACGCCAATGTTTTTTGGGAGGTCGTCTTCCGGAGGGTCGTTAGCGCGGATCACGTCCTTCGGGTTGGTGGAGTTGTTTTGTACCATTTTGATTTCGTTGGAGGGGCGAACTTTGTGGACGGCGCCGTTCCCGTTCAGCTTGTGTTCCTCGACGCCGTTCTCTTTGTATATCGTCATGATGTCACGTACAGAGCGTATCTCCTCTCCTTGCGAGTTCTCTATGAGTTTACTGAGCGAGTTTTCCCTAGTCTCCGTCACTTTTTCCTCCACCACCACGACCGAACCGTTGCTCTGCGCCAGCGCATCGTCCATCGCGTGTTGTATTTCCTCCACCTTCTTCTCGAAGTCCGCGAGGTTGGTCGCAGTGGTCTCTTCGACGACAACTATATTTTGGACGGGTTCGTCGTTCACTATAGTTTGTATGACCGTCTCCTGGACAATGACCGGTGTAGAATCAACTTCGTCCTTCTTCACTAGAATTTCGGTGCTGGCGCTTCTTCGGGAGACTGGTTTGTAGAATTTCATGTAGAGGTCTTCCCAGAATGCCATTTTCTCTTTGTTCGGGTTTGCAAGGAGGGTGAGCTCGTTGCTGAGATTTAAGCAGTATAGGGTATCTTTGGTGGCCGGCAGCCAGTTCACAGCGAGGTAGAAGTTGTCATCAGGAGTCGGGTTACTATGGAAGAAACAGATTTTTTAGAACCGAATACCATTAATATTTAGTTAAATTTTGTCATTATTAAATAAAACAACTGTCTTGCAATTACATAGATAAACTTCGAGCGTGTTCATACAATGAGTCAGTGATGGTAACAGAGAATAATACATAAAAATAAAACAGAGAGTAATAGAAGTAGAATTTAAGTAAAGACAGCATTGGATATTTAACCTTACACCTATGTCATACGGTCGAAATTACCGTACACAAGGCACAAAAACATTTCGAAAGACGTACATCTTATTTAATATGATAAAGTAAGCCTACATACCCAGTCTTAGCGAAATTGGTCCAGAGTCTCACAATCCTTTCCCTCATAGTTAGGTCTTGTGGAGTTGGTTCCACATCTGCCACAAAGTCGTTCTTAAAAATGTAGGATAACTCATCCGTGTGACCTGCGTGCTTTACGCCCATACTGCTTGGCAGTTTGTTCGTTATGTTCAATTCACCAATATAATCAAATTTGTAATAGAAAACTGGTTGATCTGACACTGTGACTAGACGACGAACGAATCTATGTGTCGCCGCATTTATAAGGACATCGGACAACAGCTGTGACCTCGTTAAGAGATCCTCTGCATCCTTGAAGTACAATTCTTTCACTCTGTTCTTGAAGGCCTCCGCGTCCTCAGATCCCTTCTCAATACCGAGATCTCTGGGGACAAAGTTATCCAAATCACCCCTATCTCCCACCAGCTCGAGGGATGTAGTACCCACCATTATTGGAACTTTGGCCAGCCTACCCGAGTTCAATATATACATGAAGGGCTCAGTCAGTACAGCTTCTACGCCAGGGAATTCCTTTTCAATAACGGGTGCGAAAAGTATTTCTTCTTTCTCGAACAAGGCTGATATTGGGTTCATTTTGGTGTTCGCCTCGACTATGTCTCTGACTGGGGTCGTTGAGAGGAACTCCAATATTTCGTCGACGTCATTCGATTCGCAGCCTAACTCTTTAGCTAAAGTTTTAGCGTTGTATATGGGGTCCTGCTGTATGGCCCAGTTGCTGGTCATGATTCCTGACTGCACTATCGCCTTGCTGATCAGGTCTTTAGTGAGCGGGCTAGCCGCAATAATAGATGTGATGGCGGCGCCCGCGCTCTCGCCGAAAACTGTGATATTACCTGAGTTACCCCCGAATTTGTGGATGTTTTGCTTGATCCATCTAAGCGCCAGCACGACGTCTTTAAGACCTGCATTTCCGGGGACCTCTGGTGTGTTTAGACTTAGAAAGCCGAGCGCTCCACACCTATAATTGATGGTGACCACGACCACGTCTTTTTCGACTAAATAATCGGCCCCGTATAGCGACGAGTTTCCGGAACCGAAGAGGAAAGCACCACCGTGGATGAACACCATTACGGGAAGGAACTCGCCATCAAGGTTCGGTGTGCACACGTTTAAGAAGAGGCAGTTCTCGTCTCCCTCGTAGGGCTTGCTGTAGAACTGGTCGATTTGGGCACAGACATTCCCCTCGGCTGTGGCGTCGCGGACTCCCTCCCATGGTTGTGGTGGAAGAGGCGCCTGAAATAATAAAATCACGACTTATCAATATATATTAGATTAATACATCCAACATCTTATATTGACAATAATTTTTGGTTTATATACAAGTGTGTTAGTTAAGTAAGATTGTCTCAATAAAGGAATGGAATGCTCATTTGAGGCAACAAGTGAACTTTAGTAACTAGGGTATAATACTTTATTCACTTTGTACTTGCACAATTTAACAAGTACCCTACCTATTAACTGTAACCGTACAATGAATGGAAAACCCGAATTAAATAATACACTTGTGGTGACAGTGTCTCTAATGTCCAAGTCCAATCTATTATGTTAAGCGCCACCTGTTTTTAATAAAAAAAACAAGAAAACGCGGTTCAACCCGTTAAAATAGTTTTATTTATAGGTACTCGCGTAAACTACAGACAGTACCTAGTAAATTACCTAGAAAGAATTCCTAGAAAATATATTTCCTCCACAATAGCACATTTTTTAGCTAGTTATCGCATTCATATCTTTTATCATTTATCAATGAGATTATTTGCTATCGCATTTTTCACACACTATTTCGACTCGGCTTACGATTGCCAAGAGATGACATACAAGTTTGTGTCACCTATGTTTCATCAGATACTAAGAATAGCCTAAGTTGGTACATCTTAACAGCCGTGTGCATCCTATACAAAACGGTTAATCTGTTTATGGAAAGTTTCATATACAACATGAAAATGACACGCTGTCAGGAACTTACTTAAAACTTATAAATTTTTATCATTTCTGTATCTTGTCCTGGTGGCTGCCCTTGTGTCAAAGTCAATTCTTATCGTCTTTTGAGAAGTTTACGTAACCACTGCACCACGCATAGCCTTTGGAAGCATCCCAACGTGGAACTGGCAACATCTCAAGGATTTCGGGTTTACAGCGAAGTTATAAAGTTTGATTGTTTAGCTGTTTATAATGTCCATATCTAGGGTATAGGTACATTCAAAATAGACATATATTTTGACATGTTATTGCTCATCTACACTAATATTGTAAAGCTGAAGAATTTGTTTGTTTGAACGCGCTAATCTCAGGAACTACCAGTGCGAATTGAGAAATTATTTTTCTTGGTTAGAGCATTTATCGAGGAAGGCTTTAGGCTATAAAACACGCTGGGACTAGTAGGAGCGAAGAAATAGTGGGAAATATGGAATAAACACGAAAAATAATCTTCGAGGGTTGCCGTTGCGTGCGATGCGGAAGCAGTTTAGGATACCTAAAATATACGCGTGATTCCGTTTTAAATCTTCAAAAAAATTATACCAATTAACTTGCAAGAACGACGGGACGCGTTCGACCGTCGTAATTGAGAAAAGGTTCTCGACGTTTCGCCGTCATGAAAAGTAAAATAAGAAACATTTAATGTTGACTGCCAACCGCTGTCTGATAACGCGATACGTATACGAATTGGATACTCTCATAAGTTATCACCTAAAGAGCCTCAGCAGTAATCAAATAATCAAATGCACGAATTAAATATTCACGACACGCCCAATAAAATGTCGAATCTTGGAGCCAGTGTTGCGTTATGGTTAAGACCAGATTCAGCGTTTTAAGTAGTATTAATGCTGCAGTGAAATGGCCTCTGTGATCCGGGGCGTGATTTGTACGTTTTCACCACACATGGTAAACACTTTAGACTGTAGACGTACCTACTATATCTCTTACTTTCCAAGTTTGCTAGCGTAAGCACTAATACTTAGGACATACGTTGGTTTAGTCGGGCCAGAGAAGTTTTTGCCGGATCCAAGGATGAGACATAAAAATTTGTCTATTCGACACTACAATTTGGACAATCTAGATACTAACTTTAAACCGCAAAGATCCCAAGGGTGGTGTAGCGTAAGGGATGCCCTGGAAGCTATAGAATCCCTTGCCAGCTGGGCTGTTGACCACCTTGCCTTGCAGCTGGCCCTGCTCCACCGTCACTATGGGTGCTTCGACCATTCTTCCACCGCTGGAAAGAGAAGGACTTAATAAACAATTTGTATCCACTAAGCAGAGTGATCTATTAGATAAGTCAACATGAGTAGTACACATTTAAATAAAACACTTTAACGGTTTAAAACGCGATATATTAGTTAAACTTATTTGAAAATGATTTTTAACTTCGGCCCGACGTTTCGGATGCTTTGCAGCAGCCGTGGTCACGGGGAGACGTCGGTAAACCGTTAAAGTGTTTTATTGAAAATAGTCAACATGATCAATAAGGAGGAAAATATAAAGGCGTCATTTGCCTAGGTGAAAATTAATTTGTACTATTAGTTGTGTAAGAATTATTTTAACATCTTTTGGTCACTGTGCTCTTGTAGATTATCATTTTTTAGACTATGAAAATATAAATAAATCAAGTCATAAAGTTAGGCTATTCTAACGGCCTCATACAGGTCGAATAGATTCGATGACTGGGCACGGTAGCCCAATTGGTTACAGCAACACGGAATGCTGTAGATGCCCGTTCAAGTGAACAAAATGGAGTCAACAACATACTGTAAATTATCATCTGCGCCGGACCAGTGTAAGGAAATAAAGAAAAGTTTGTTAGTTAATTTATAGTATAGTAAGATAGTTAGGTAATTTAGAGTATAGGTATAGAGATAGTTATATATGTATTGTGAGTGATTCGTGGCATATACCGCTGCGCAGTTTTAAAACTCCCGCCCGTGTCGTAATTTTTTTATATCTAAAATCGATTTTTAATTTCCACACATTATTTTTAAATTATCATATCAGGACACGAACACTAACGAATTTCATGTAACACAATAAAGATGATGAAATAAGCCGTAGATAAGACCTTAACACCATAATCTGAATTTATAATTATCTAAAATTATTGGTACTTATTTTTTTGTGATAGAGGACAAACTATCACGCTAGCTTCACTTGACGAAAGTAATTAAAATAGCCCAGCTACATAACATCTGAACAAGTTGCGCTGTCGACCTATGTCGACTTTGAGCATTCAGAAACTCACATTTGGTTAACGGATTTTTAAACTTATAGTAAGAAATAGCTACGACAATACGTTCGTTAGAAAAACACTATGAAATCAATCAAGCTAATCTTCAAGTTATCAACATATAAAGATTTCGTTAACTTGCGATAACACTCAATTAGTTTGATAATGTGTTTCTACCCCATATTTTATCTTCGTCGCACTAGAGACATTTACAATACGACTGAATAGGACGAAACACCAATTATATTAACAAATGTCAATTGTACTTATCAATTGATTTTCGTAGATATCTTGTTTATATAGAAAATATTTATCTACACATTAGTATCTAGTGATAACATTGAGACAACTACTTGAAACTTCAATTTAAAAATGTCTGACTAACTCTTGTTGAAAGGGGAAAATTTGCCCGCACTATAAATGGCGAAACTGTGGTTTGGTTTTGGAGGTTTGTGGTTGAAGATATAATATATATAAAATAATCTGATGTATGAAAATAATCTAATGATGAATCAGTGAAACAGGCACAGAAATGTGTCCGCTTTATGCCACACAAAAACGGTGTTGTTGTAAAATATGTTTGTTGAAATGATTTTGTCAGTCTGTACGCGGGCGGTCTGCGGGTGTATTATATACCCACGAGTTTACCTTTCTTATGTAATAACTATTTTGAATGCTGTCGGGGCTACCATGCCGCTGCTGTGCATCGGGCATGTTTACCAATGCTGACACGACGCGTCATGTGAATTAACAAGCCACCAAAAAGCATTCGAAAAAAAGGCTTTAATGAACAGGGATGAAGCGAAGCGAAAAATTCTGATTTTTTTCATTAAATTATAGAGTAGGACAGACAGGCATGAAGTAACTTGATGGTAGGTGATATAATCCAGCGTATAGCATCTAAACAAGATGCGATTTCGAAAAAACTAATACAGAAATATATAAATATAAAACTGAAGTGACTAAAACATCCATCACAAATCACAGAAGTAAGCATTATTTATGATTAGGCATGACAGTTAGCTTTCTTTGGGGGTACAGCTTCCCCCCTTCCCCCTCCACTTGACTTGATAACATATAACTAGATATCACCAACACATAACACGTAATCCATCATGTTTTAACATCGCAATTATTTCGCAAAGATATATTTTGTACAATATCAGAAATCGATCCAACGTCCCCAAGATTGAGTTTATAAAAATTCAAATATAATTCAATTTCCATTGGATATTTAAATGATATGAGGTTAGATTTATAGGTTAGAAAAGAAGTTGAAACAAAAAATCTAAGCGCCAACAGGTTTGTTTTTCGAGAGGTTTTTTTTGTAGTATTTACAGAAAAATAATATATTAAAAGGATTGTATACTCGGACTTTAAGACTCGGTAGCTCAATTGATTAGAGCAACAGCATAGAATGCCGACGATGCAGGTTCACGTCTCGCCCGAATCGATTTTTTTAGATTTTAAAATATTGTGCCATCATGTGAAAAATATAAAAGTTTTCAAACGCTTTTTATACTCTTAAATTTTTCAGAGACATATTTTCGAGATAAAATTAATTTTCATATAAGCCAAAACGGTTCCAAAAACACACACTTCTTACACAATCACTTCCTGTATCACTTTTTTATTTGATGACGTCACATCCTTATGCAAATTTTAAATCTAAGAACGAATCATCACTTTTCCCCACTTTTCAATAATACAATGCTTTACTCTAACACAAACGCATTTTTAAAAAATGGAATTAAACAAAAAATTGAATTAAAAAGTTTACGTAAGACTCACCTACGTTATACCTGAGCGCACACTGAACTGTAGTCACGAGCCTAGCGATAAGATTATAAAACTGTCGTAACACACTTTTACAAAAATAACATCTTCAACTATAATCTGTGACTGGAGGGCACGTCACTATGAGTTTGAAAATGGAACCTTTTAAACTTTAAAAATAGAATAACTAAGATATTATTCGGATTCTAATTAGAAATTGATAAAATATATTTCGAGTTTTAAACCGTTGTATGTATTGTTCACTTGATAGTAAGTGAATTACCATATAACAAGACACATGCGCTGTTGACGGTGGTTCGTGACCCGGACGAAATTTTGGTACCCTACCACCAAATTAATATCCAGATTTCCAGACGAAGTCCAGCACGTTTCATTTATTAGATCAATTTTAGAGCCGGTGAGGATCGAACCCAAGGCCCTTTTATTATTTACAACAAACTCATCAAAGTATACCACTCGCGTATACGTGAATGCGACTAAAACAAATAGGTATACAAAGTTACTATATAATGAAACAAAATAAACCTACTTAAGTAAGTAGCATTTTAATATTACGTAATAAGTTTAAAAAAACGCTTCTATGGAAATTGTTAAATGCGTTTGAGCGTTAAAAACAAAGATAAATGTCTGACAAACCTAATCGGCCTTCATTTGTTATTCAAATTCTTTTCTTCAAGTAAGCAACTACATATTCCAAGGTAAACAAACAGACACACATATAATCATAAGGTCTAACTCGATTTGAAGTTACAATTTCCCCTTATCAAAGTATAACGAATTTTACAATAGCCATGAGTTATTTAGATCATAAGAATAACAATTCCTAACCATATTAGAAACAAAATCTCTGAAAAACATATGATGCACACTTTAGACAGGTTAAATAAAGAAAAAAGTCGAAAATAAATTGAAATATTTACAAAGACCTGCCCGGACTTGAACCGGCATCGTCAGTGTTCCATGCTGTTGTTTATGGCTGCTTATCCCAATAGCCGAAGAAGTTGCCCAAGCATTGAGAACTCCTCAATCAACTATTTGTCTGTAAATACAAGTGATCAGTGGCACGGACACTGAGATATGTTCGTCCCGTGCCCTAAAAGGGGAAACTGATTTTCCCTTTTTCATACTATATAATAACAAAATTACTAGACATAATGAATATTCAGTATGTATTACAATCTATAATCTTATCACAAAAATTTGCTTGTTGCGAATTCCAAAAGTCATTCCAAGCAGATTGCAATGTAATGAAACAATTTACCTAATCGGTTATATCTTTTAGAAAAATCGTATTAACTGGCAACATCAAAACGTGTACATATTAATAATGCATACTAAATATATAAAGCTGAAGAGTTTGTTTGTTTGAACGCGCTAATTTCAGGTAATACGGGTTCAAACTGTTCTTTGTGTTGTTTAGAGCATTTATCGAGGAAGGCTATAGGCTATAAAAGATTGCGCTATTACGAAGATACAGTGGGAAATGTGAACAAAACGGGGGAAATGTTTCATCTCTGTGGGTTTCAGATGCATACGCTGCGTAAACGGTTCAAGACACCCAAAAAATATATAAATAATAGAATAAATCCTTTTTAAATGATCAAAAAAAAAATTAACTTGCAAGAACGACGGGTCCCGAACGACGGCTCGAGAGGGACGGGGCGCGACCGATGTCGTGGGCAGCTTAAATTTATAAAGATGAAGAGGTTTGCAAAAGGAAATTTGGATGCAAAAATAACTATTCTACGCGGACGAGGTCGCAGACACAGCTAGTTAATAATACAATGCAGTATGAATGAGTTTTACTGAGGCAATTGACAATAGTATCACGTTAAATAAAACACTTTAGACGGTTTTAAACCGAGATATATTTGTTGACTTACTTTGCAACAGTCAGGACCTCTCAGACGCTATGCAGCAGTCGGGTCGTAGTTGAACAGTTAACAGATGTATTCCGCGAAAACAGTTCAATATCCAAAAAGTATGTATAAAAAAATAATTCCTCTTTAAATCTAATAAAATTTAGATCTTTTAGAAATTAACTTCAAAGAACGACGGGGCGCGACCGACGTCGTGGATAACAGTTTAAATTTGTAAAGATTTGTTAAATCAAATTTAGATGCCCGAAATAACTATTATACGCGGACGAATTCGCCGACACAGCTTGTATTGGTATAGATGAAAAGACAACTTAATAATTCCACAGATAAAACCGCTCGCGCGTAACAAAATATTGAGCGTGAAACGCATCGCTGTAGCTAATTACTTTTCTCCGATATTATTGTGTCCATGGAAACTTACCAATACATCATCCGATGCACCGCTGCACAGCCGACGGGGAAGCAAAAATTCCTATCCCTCCTAGAATTATTCCCGCGGTATCCCTTATTTAGCAATGGCAACACTTTGATGTTCTTCGTCAGATCGTCGTTCAGAGAGTCCATAAAAACATCGTTTTCCGAGTTCGATTTGAAGCAATCGGATATCTTTTTGCTGACCGGCTTATTGCTTATAATATTTTTCGACTCATTAGCCAACAAGAAACGCAGCGACGCACGATTCAAGATGTACAACTCCTCCAAACTTCTAGCCATAAACACACATTTAACACTGGCAACAGTGACTTTTTAAATTAAGAACACACTCAATTGCTCCTAATTAAAACACTGGCAGCTTTAAATTTAGAATTGCAACGTTTACATCACTACGTACCGAATTCAAAAATCGAACGGAAAATCTCAACGGACGCAGATATTCGACCTCATGGTCGAGAAGCAACTGTCACTGTACACTATTTTACGCAAGAGTGGAATTTTCAAAACAAGTGAAAAACGTGACATGATTGATTGTTTCTCACAAGACAAGAACCGCTTAGAACTTCTATTTCCATTAACATAAGGGCGACATTTGTACGACAAAACAACATTAGTCACTAATATAATATTTAGGGTGTCACGTTACATGAACAATTGCAATAAAATATCGTGAAGGAACTATTTGAAACGATTAGCATACGGTCTGTTGATGTCAGCAATAAATATGAAACAATACAAAATACGTCCTTAAGATAAAAACTCATGTTTCGTTTTAAAATAAACTAAATTGTAATTAATTTTCCCCTCTAACTCCTCTTTAAAACCTTTTAAATGCTCATAACCAACAAACAAATTAGATCGTACAGTCGATGAATAAGAGGCCAGCTACACATCTTAATGTCATATCTAACAAACGACTATTTGATCGTGGATTTTAATTAGATTGTATACAAACCACTAAGTGTTATAAGGTTAGTTTAGAAAGATTAAGTTATTAAATGCATTGTTAAATTGTTAGTAAATAAATATAATGTATTATTGTTAAACAAACATCTTAACATAATGAGTTAATCAACCATGTTAGTAAACAAGCAAATCTCAAAGCTATTTGGGTTTTCGAGCTGTTCGTTCGGCGCATTTTTTTTCACTTGATACAAAATGATGGGTTGTCGAGCTATTCTGGCTTCGTACATTTAAACTGAAGCCGAAACGCACTTTATGCCATCATCTTTAGTAGATTGGAGTTCGTGATTGACCCCGAAAACTTCCACCAAACTTACCACCAATCTAATGCCCATAATATTTCAGCCGAAATCTGACATGTTTAGGAGAAGCAGATAAATTGTTTGAAAACTTTAATATAATGCACATGATGGCACTCTATATACATTAAAAATTTATTACTCGGTAGCTCAATTGGTTAGAGCAACAGCACGGAACACTTTAAATGCCGATTCAAGTCCTGCCCGAGTCGTATTTTTTTTTAACAAAATAATTGCTATAATCGATTTTTAATTTAAATAAATTGTTTCAAACCCATCACCCGTTGATTTTAAATCACATATACCAATAACCCGGCAATAATTCTTGACGTGTCGTTCAGCGTTCAGCGTTCAGCCCTCGCTTAGTAAACATCTCCAAAACCCAATTAGTTTTGATAAGTGGCTATAACAGCCTTGGTAATGCATAAATACAGACAGAGTTAGTTTCAAAAGCAAACTAACTCACCGTAGGTCGTCAAGAAACTCGTTCACTATATCTATGGTCGTCATTTTTTGTTACTGTAAAGAAAAAAAATAATAATTTAAGGAAGTTATACACGGTGGGGGCATGGGACAAACAAGTCTCTGTCGGTTCCTCGATTCAATTTACAGTCAAGTACTTAAATATAGTTAACACTAGTAATACACATCTAAAATAAAACATTTAACAGTTTTAAACTTAGAAATTATCATGCGAAACGTCGACCCGTAGTAAAATAAATAAAATCCTTTCACGTTTTAAACCGTTAAGTGTTTTATTTAAACATGTAGTTAAACAGACTTCTGTGCCCTGTCCGACCGAAACCTCTTTTTAATAATTGAGAAACGGTTGTGGTCATGCCCTTGTCATGCTAAAAAAATCGAATACGAGTTTTTTTCATGGCACTGAAAGGTAGACAAGGATAGCGTTCGCCTGGTGAGATGCACCAGCCCTATAATTTATATGCTGTAATTATTATTATAAATTATTTTAAAGGTTGTTGGCAGAAATTAATATCATATAAATTTTATTTGAGGACGTTTTATATAATATTTACAATTACATATTTGTATATATAAATGCCATTTATTTAATTTCTTGTCAATTTCATATTATGGTGTCTTCCAGTTACTGTCTGTTTGTGGCCTGAAGTAAACCCGATTTCCATAAATAGGGCGCAGGCTTCCTACGAGGGTCTGGCCTCAAACACGACACATGTCAACGAGTGACGTCATGATAACATGAATCATGACGTTTATAACATTTCAAAGGCTATTGTTTATTTTATATGTTAGTGAATTATTGTTGGTCAGAATTTTTGAGACATAATATTTTGATTTTATATTTGAACATAAAATTAAAAATATTCCGGTAGGACGTCCGGACCCAATGTACTTAGAAAAATAATGCAGCGCTATAGCGTCACTTTTTACAATAAATCAGATATCACCAACTTCTCGAAATTCCTAATATGCTTTTTACATCAAATACAACACTTTAACGGTTGAAAACGTGAATTATATTAATTTTTAACGCTCAGCTAAAATAAATAAAATATTTCTGACGAAATTTTCCATGTGAAGTACCTATTTTTTTTTAACTGTAACCATTTTTTCGTATGCTTTAGAACCGCAGTAATCGTGGAAAGATTGAAAGCATCTGAACGTTCGGGTCAGACGATTAAATAAACCAATTTATTTTCCGTTTAAAACCGTTAAATGTGTTCTAGCAAGCTAACTTGTTCTTATTTTAGGAATAGTTTGTTATATTTTATTTTATTATTGTGTACAACTGGCGTCGTACAGACAAAATTCTTTTAAACTGAAACACTAACGGTTTTAACGCGAAATAATATTATATACTACGGCCCGACGTTACGGATGCTGTGCGACAGCCGTAGCCGGGACGGGGACACATCGCGTTTTAAACTGTTAGTATTTAAAAAAACACTTTAACTTTAAAACCGATATATTATTAAACTTATTTGAAAATGATTTTTAACTTCGCCCGACGTTTGTATTTATTTAATGTTAGTATTTATTTAAATGTAAACCTACTCGCGTTAACTACAGACAGTTTACAATTCTAATAATTATATAAGGGTTTCACGGCCGTCGTTCAGTATATTATTGTCTTTCGGGCAGTTCATCCGATGTGAGCGAGAAGAGGTTCTCGACGTTTCGCCATCACGTTTGGACGGCATCATCAGGAGATGTTAGCTCCTCGATCGCTCGAAGAACTAATTCCTGATCAATGATACGCAGTATAATTTTTTTTTTAGTTTACTTTGAGCAATCGCCATGTACATTTTAAGTTTCATGCTAAAAGTATTTACTTATTCAGTAGACAATCGCACGAACGCGTTGACTTCACTTTCACTTAAAGTTAAGTGCATTCCGCGATTTACTAATGAGGTAAAGTGTCATGAGATAAGACGAAGATTTTGAAGCTTAAAAAAGACAATGGCACTTATTAAAAAACTAGCTGTGCCGCGACTTTGTCCGCCTGGAATAGTGACTTGTGGTAGAAATTTTTAATTATTTAGTCTGTTTATTAATATTTATAATAGGCGCATTTAAGGCAGCCAATCTATGTTGTAAGTGCTGCTACGCAACTTCACTCCCCTACTCTACTCCCAATCTCATTCCCACTTCCACGCCCACTCCTATTCCCAAAAAGCCAGAGAAGAAAGTTTCATTGTTTTAGCTTTACCACGAATTTGCATACAAACTTTCATCCCCTTTTTTGACCCCTATCAACCCTTTCTTGGCATTAAAGTAGCCTATATCCTTTTTTAGGCTCTAAAATATTGGTGTATCGGGTGTGTGTAAATTTCATTTAAATCTGTTCACTAGTTTCGGAGTTAAAGCGGACAGACAGACAGACAGGCACAGTCACTTTCGCATTTATAATATTAGCATAGATATATAATCTCTTCATAATTATTTTATCGACAATTGCAATAATACACACACTTGCAATAATATAGGTTTTTTTTCTACACGACACTCCGTTGATATAATTTGTAGGCCAAAAATATTAAGATAGACAATCTTGTTTAATGTTTTGTCCAAAAGTAGGAACGTTTGTATTATAAAGGTGGACAGGCAAGCATTGAGTGCCCTTGATGGAATGGATGCCGATACTCTGGCATTATAATATCAGACAAGTTACGCTGTCGACCTATTTCGACTTTGGATATTCGGAAATCCATAGATCCGAAACGCGCTAACTGTTTGGCGGTTCGTGAGCAAGACGGAATTTCGATATTACTACCACCCATTTAATATCTAGATTTCCAAACGACGTCCAACCTGTTTCAAATTATAAATTGTAAAATTTATAACATGCCGGACTAGGTGTTGATCGAACCTGCGACCCGTTGTTTTTTAGCCTTACGTTGCTACCATTTGACCAACGCGAATATATTATACTTTAAGCGATAGACAATAAATACATTAGCTGTACGTATCAAGGGATAAAATCCCTAAAAAGTAGTTATGAATTTCGAAATTATGAAGCAAACTTGTTAGGTTGACGATTGGCAATGTGACTGTCCATTAACAGGTAAAGTCGCGACGGAGCACTAGTCATAACCATTAATTATAGAGGCCACAGATAAAATAAGACATAATGACGCAGCAGAGACAATAGCATTCCCATATATTACAACAATGGGCGCTATTTAAACATCGGAGTTTGGACCAATATATAATATTGTTCGGAGCTGTGGGTGGTAAAATTCATTACATGATATTATTTAGAACTATAAAATTATCTTAAGAGCGTAGTAACTCTTTTAATTAAAACACTTATAACGGTTAAAATTATGGCATGTTACCACGGCTGCTGCAAAGCATCCGAAACGTCGGGCCGCATGTAGAATAATTGTAAATAAGTTAACTAATACATTTCGCGTTTTAAGCCGTTTAGTGTCATATTCCAATGTGTACGACACGAGTAAACACCAGTCAGAAATAACTCTTACAATCCGAAACGTAAAGCGTAGTTAAAATACGTCATTTCAATCTGTTAAA